TGCGAGCTAAGGCGACTGCGCTAGTGACACTCGAGGGAGCTTGCAAATGAACAGAAGCGACGGCACCATAGAACTTGATGGTCGTGCTCCATCCGGTACAGGAGCTTGCATGGCGCTCAAGATCTGCCTTGTTTCTGCCAAAGCTTTGAAGGCGCCGTCGCAGCTCAACTTCAAATCAATCCAACCCGGCTAAGGATTTTGTGTTGCTCAACCGGAATCGAGCTGCACCTTTCGTGGTGGATGTTACGGATTGATCGCGAGATTTCATGAGTGCAGACGGAGCAGATCCCGGCTCTTATACCAGTTTGTGAGGCCTTGTGAAGGAATCCTCACAACTAGGGCACCGCGGCTGTGTTTGTTGGATCGAAAGAAAAGGGGATGAGGATACAGAGTATGAGATGAGAGCTTCAGAGTTTCATTCTATCTCAGATGCTTATCAAACAACTTTGCCTCTGTTTAAAAAAACGTGAGTTAGGCCCGCTAAAAGGGTTTGATGTTTGAACTAATTCCGGATACTTACCAAACAATTTTTTGAGTGCAAATAATGGGCTTAGGAATTTCCCTCACTGAATTAACTTTCTTACCTGATTCGTACCAGGTTATGTGATGAAGCTACAAGCGCACTGGATAGCACTACTGAATCATCGATTTTGAATTCTCTAATGTCTTTATCCGTCGATCGAACCTCGATATTTATTGCTCATCGACTCACAACTGCAATGCTATGCGACGAGGTATTCATATTTCTGCACATACATAGACAGTACAGCATACATATCTGAAAAAATAATTTGTCTTGTTGCTATATTGACAATCAATATCTGAATACTAAGACAGGTTTACAGTCATAAAAGTTGCTATTGCAACTGTTCATGAAATTGCTGTACTCACTATGGGCTAAACTCCTTTATACTTCGAATCCATTCACTTCCATATTTCCCATGTAAGTAATCTTTCAACTGATTTTCAGATCATCGTCTTCGAGAATGGAAGAGTAGTGGAACAAGGACCACATGATCTTCTTCTGTCGAAGCGCGGGCGTTATGCCGAACTTTGGTCCCAGCAGAATACAACTGAAGCCAGTTGATGCTTCTGCTTTTGGTACATAAGTTTGATAGACCCAATACGTTTTCCCTTTGCATGGGAAAACAATACACAGCCATACTTCAACGGAAGCAGGTTTTTATTTATCTGCCTTGTAAATGGAGTTCTTGAGATTTCAGGTACAGGGGAAACAGAAATTTACAGTTGAGGGGGAAATCCTCCATTTCATAGAGCCGAGAGGCGAAATTTTCCTGTACAGATAACTAACAATACTGGCATATGTCCATATGTCGATGTAATATTTTTTTACTACACAGAATAAGTAAATAATTTCCGCTGTTTTATGACGCTGGCTGGCAGGCAGATTAATGTAGTATTCACATATTCAGTTATTTCCAGTTAAATACCTGTCTGATCAACTGTGTGCCTCGTCTTAGTTTTTTACTGTCACGTTTTGTGTCACCCTGACTGCCTGTGTGTCTCTCGGGCCAGACATCAGGGACTGAAGAAATCTTGTTGGCCGAATGATCTGCACCATTCCACAAGCGCCGTCCTTCGTCAATCGCCGGTGTGGCAATGCGGCGGCGGCATGGTGATAGGTAAATGCAAGCAATCTATGCATCTTTGTTTTCCTAAATGATTTGATGTTGTGTCTTAAGCTCCATGAATATTGTATTGGTGCTTTGTGCAGCTCGCCACCAGATATCACTCAACACTGAAACCACACCACACAATAGTCTGAACACTGAACACCTGTTGATCTTCAGGTTGTGCATTGCATTCATAGGGCACAGACATAAGCAGAAGAACGATATATCGTCCTGCTTTCTCTAGATTCCATCAATACATATATTTGTTAGCTTTTCTAGCCAAGAAATTCGTATAGACTACCATATTGCATGCACCCGCCACACACAAATTTCTGCTTTTATCGACCTATATTTGTTAGCTTTTCAATACATATACTTGTTAACTTGAAAGGCAGCTTCCAAAGTTTAGCGGGTAAATGGTAGAAGGCTAATTGATAAATGTAGTTAAGTTTTCAATAAACATAGTCAAAGTTTACAAAGTTTGACTTTGGAAAAACTTATATGCACTATAATTTTGCAAGGAGTGACTATATACCCAGCTTAATTATTTATTATTGATGGCCACTTCAGTACATCTTTGAGCAGGCTCTCAAGGTTGGCCAATGACCTGCCACCGGGTTGAGCGGTTGAGCGAGAAGCGACCTCCTTCCACTCCGCCGCCTTCCTCCTCATCCCCCTCCCTACTTCTCCTCCTCCCATCACCTCCTTTATCCTTGCCTCGACCACCTCCCGGCGCACATCGTCACCAACCTCCATTTCGACGCCCCATTCCACACACGCGTAGCGGCTGTTGGTTTGCTGCTCGGCGAAGAAGGGCCAGCACAGCATCGGCACCCCAGCGCTGAGCCCCTCCATCATCGAGTTCCACCCACAGTGCGTCAGGAAGGCGCCCACGGCCTCGTGACGTATCACAGCCTCCAGCTCGCCAGGAGGCACCTGCCCTTGGTGGCCTTGAGGAACTCGGGAGGCAGCACGGCGGCATCACCCTTCACCAGGTCGTTCCTCACGATCCACAGGAAGTCGTAGCCACAGTTGGCAAGCCCCCACGCGAACTCCACCAGCTCCTGCTTGGACATGGTGGTCACGCTCCCGTAGTTGACGTACACCACGGACCGGGGCTCCCTGCCCTGGAGCCACTCGAGACATGACTGGTCTTCTCTCCAGAGGCTGGAGCGTATGGCACCGAGCGTGCCGCCGCTATCGCCTTCCGAGACCAGCTGCTCGGTGAGGGAATTAAGCGGGCCAATGGTGTAGACGGGCAGGGGGAGGATGGCGCGCATGGCGTCAAGCGCGGTCTGCTCGAGCTCGTCAATGGTGTTGAGGATGATGGCGGTCGCGCGGTCCGACTGCTCAACCTCGTGCAGCAGGAAATTGAACAGGATGTCGCTGCGGTCCGTCGTGCGGACGAAGGACGAGAAGTCTCGGAGGCGCATGTGCTTGCTCATCCCGCGTGCCTGTGTCACCGGCGTGTCCAAATACCCGTTCTTCATTTGCTCTTCATCTGCTCAGATCAGTCACACTGCCCAGCATCACACATATCCAATGCAACATATCTTCGGGAAATAGTTGCTGCTTGCTACAAAGTTGGGCATGGCGCCGGCCATACATACCTTTGAGAGGGGTGAGGCCCTCGTCTAGGAGGAACCGGAAGTTGCGGTAGCCCATGAAGCCGCAGGCGCTGGCAGTCCAGAACAGCGCGCACGGCACGCCGAGCTCCGCGGCTGTGTCCATGCAGAAGCTCATGACGCCGTCGCCCACGACGCAGCTCACCGGCGGCGCCCCGACAGCACCGTTGAGGTCGCGGAGCAGGTTCTTCAAGTGGGGGAGGCAGGTGGTCATGGTGTAGTAGCACAGGGACGGCGGGTCCTGCGTGGCGTCGGCGTCTGCGTCAGCGTCGGACGTGGGTATGCCGTCTGGGATGGTGGCGAAGCGGAAGCCCAGGAGCCCGGCCACGGCGCCGGGGCCGCGGGAGCGGACGAGGCGGCGCTGGTTGTACTCGGTGTTGACAAAGGTGACGTGGAAGCCCTTGCGGTGCAGGACCTTGGCCAGCTTCATCATCGGCGTGACGTGCCCCTGCGCCGGGAACGGCACCAGCACGGCGTGGGGCTTCTTCTCGTTCGTGGCCATGTCGTCGCCTCGAGAAGTTCTGCGTTTTGTAAATGCGAAACTTCGCTGCTTGCAGCAGTGGCAATGGCAAAGTGCATATGTATATATGGCAAGCAGATGAGAAATGAGTGCCCAAGTTGGCCTCAAATTGTGCGCTTTGGACTCGCACCGTTCAAAGTCACAACTGGTGGCGATACTTGTACGCATGTGCGGTTTTGAATTTTCTGAAGCGGACATGCTGCATGGGCACGTAGCTTCACTTCAGAAGACTAATCGTAGAAGCAACTGATTTCCTACACACAACTCATAGTGACAGGGGATAAGCACGTTCATTTTTGAGTTCGTACGCAACTGGCTTCCTAGTAGCTTCACTTGAAAGTTTTTGTCAACATTTTTGCACATTCCACCATTATATGCTTAGTTTTGCATATTCTAAAAACATGAAATTTTTATTGAAATCATGCAAGTTTTTGTCAACATTTTTAAGGGGGATACCAATGCCGCTAATTTATTCTTCCTTATAAAACTTCATTTTTGTGTTTTTGTTTTATTTTAGTTTTAGTATATATAAGGCTGGAGGAAGAAGAAGGTAGCTAGGCCTTTAGATCTTGATCTGGCGGTTAAGAGTGGTTTAATGTAACTAGAGAAAAATAGGCGCCTATCATATACTCCCTCCGTTCTTAAATATAAGTCTTTTTAGACATTTCAAATGAACACAACATGGATGTATATAGACATATTTGAGAGTATAGATTCACTCATTTTGATCCGTATGTAATCACTTGTTGAAATATCTAAAAAGACTTATATTTGGGAACGAAGGAGATGAGGAGACAAGGGAGAATATATTGTGGACCGGTGCTTGTGGTGCTATCAGTGCACCGAACTCATGTTACACATTTTAAAATGTTTAAATATTCTTAAGAAAATAGCACATCCACACAACATTTATGTAGGCTGTTACAAAATTTCAAGTCAAATTGGAACACAGCTCCAAAAAAAATGACAAAATCAACATTGAATAGTACATAATATGGATTTGGCCCATTATCATACTGATGTCAAATCTATCATTTTTTGCATCTTAAAAAATGTTTCAAATTTTGATACAAAATTTTGTGACAACATACATTGATGTTATGTCATTGTATGAGATTTTTTTAGATTTAGGAGGCTTATTGAAAATGTGCTTGACATAAGCAATGTCCAGTTAGCGAGGCTTATTGAAAATTTTCCTATTTTGCTCTTCTAAAAAATTTCACAATACACATGTAATCACTTTCTTGCGTGAAGCCACGTCACGACCAAGCATCAAATACACTATGCAACCTAATTTTAGAGCCATCCCATTCAATTGAGATGCTATATTTGGATTTGGTCCATGATTTTAACCGGGTTAATGATTTCTTGCTTGACGAGGCTAAGCAAGGGCTTGCGCGAGAACCAAACGTTCCCTACATCTCCGGCGCAAAGCCAACCACACTTGGTTAAGGTCCTCCTTGAAAAGATAAGCAATGTCAAGCAGGTTAGTGAGGCTTATTGAAAAATTTCCTATTTCGCTCTTTGCAAACATTTCAAAATACATATATAATCATTTTGGTGCGTGAAGTCACATCCCGGCCAATAATATTCATGAAAAATGAAAGTTTGCAGTGCCCCGTAGGAAATATATACCCAAGTCCATACAATACCCCAAACCCTGATTTAAAAATGATCAACTTGACCACATTGAAAATGAAGTGATAAGAAGTCTATTCTCTAACGCCCCTGATCGGAGAGGGGATCGGTGATCTAGAGTAGGTGAGAGGGAGCAGGTGAGGAAGGGGGATGAGCTTGGAGAAGGGGTTAGGATTGCAGAGGAGAGTTTGGATACAAAGAATGATCTACACACACATGCCTCCACACGGCCACAGGCGGCCACCCTTAACGCACCCACGCCTCCACTTGGCAGGCCAGCTGGCTGGGCCCGCCAGCCAGCACCTAGGCACACTAATCAGCTGATTAGGTGTGACATTCTCCCCTCCTTAAGACGAGGCCTTCCCCTCCCAAATGGGTGCCGTGGGAAAACGCCGGCGTAGCACGTCGTAGTCCTCCCAAGTGGCCGAGTCCGGGGACGACGATGACCATTGTATCTTGAGCTGCACCACGGGCGCGTCACCATGCTTCATCATACACCTCTCCAGGATCTTGACGGGCTCTGTCGTCGACGCAGACATGTCTTGGACTCGGGGAAGCTCGGCGAAAATTGGTGAGTAGTCCGGCATGAATGGCTTCAGCTGGGAGACGTGGAAGACCGGGTGCATGCGGCTGTCCGGCGGCAGATCCAGCTTGTAAGCCAGAGGTCCAATCTTCTCAAGCACGGTGTAGGGGCCGAAGAACTTATAGGCGAGCTTGGCACATGGGCGTGAGACCACGGAGCGTTGCACATAAGGCTGCAGTTTCAGCAAGACCTGTTCTCCCACTTGGAATGAGCGCTCGACGCAGTGCTTGTTCACCTGCTTCTTGAAGCGGTGCTGGGTACGCGCCAGCTGGGCGCGGATGGCATCTGTATGCTCTGCCCAGTCCAGGTCGCCGCCGGCCGGTGTCGCCTCCGCCTAGGTTGCCATTGCACCCAAGTTGGCTTCTCTGCCATACATGGCCTTGAAGGGTGTGCACTGGAGAGATGAATGGAAGGAGTTGTACCAGAACTCAACCATCAGTAGCCAGCGGCGCCACTTGTTGGGGGAATCGTGGACGGCGCAGCGCAGGTACATCTCCAGGCACTGGTTCACCCGCTCGCTCTGGCCATCTGTCTGCGGGTGGTACGCCGTTGAGTACAAGAGCTTGGTGCCCGCGCTCTCGAGCAGTTCGCGCCAGAGGTTGCTGGTGAAGATCTTGTCGCGGTCGGAGACGATGGACGAAGGGATGCCATGCAACTTCACAATGTTGTCCCAGAACGCGCAGGCGACGGTCGCGGCGGTGGAGGGGTGGCGGAGTGGCACGAAGTGCGCGAACTTGGTGAAGCGGTCGACGACCACCATGATGGAGTTGCAGCTCTCGGACGCCAGCAGGCCCTCGATAAAATCCATTGTCAGGTCCTCCCATGGCGCCGAAGGAATGGACAGAGGTGCGAGGAGGCCGGTGTTGGGGATCGTAGCAGAAATTTAAAATTTTCTACGCATCACCAAGATCAATCTATGGAGTAATCTAGCAACGAGGGGAAGGAGAGTGCATCTACATACCCTTGTAGATCGCTAAGCGGAAGCATTCAAGTGAACGGGGTTGATAGAGTCGTACTCGTCGTGATCCAAATCACTGATGATCCTAGCGCCGAATGGACGGCACCTCCGCGTTCAACACACGTACGGTTGGGAGACGTCTCCTCCTTCTTGATCCAGCAAGGTGAGAGGAGAAGTTGAGGGAAAACTCCGACAGCACGACGGCGTGGTGGTGATGGAGCTCGTGGTTCTCCGGCAGGGCTTCGCCAAGCACTACGGAGGAGGATGAGGTGTTGGAGGAGGAAGAGGGCTGCGCCAGGAGAAGGGTGCGGCTGCCCTCTCTCTCCCTCACTATATATAGGGGAAAGGGAGGAGGGGGAGGCGCCCTAGGGTTCCCTAGGGGAGGGGCGGCGGCCACAGGGGAAACCCTAGATGAGTTTGGGCGCCCCCACCCCCTAGAAAACTTGCCCCCCAAGCCGGGAGGGGCGGCTGCCCTAGGAGTGGCGCGCCCACCTCTCCTGGTTACGTGAGATGGGGTGGGAGGGGCGCTCAGCCCCTTAGTGGGCTGATGTGCCCTCTCCCCTTCGCCCATAAGGCCCCCCAACGCTTGTCGGGGCCTCCAAAACCCCTTTCGGACACGCTGGTCATCACCTGGTACCCCCGGAACAATTCCGGACTCCAATACCCTTCGTCCAATATACCAATCTTCACCTCCGGACCATTCCGGAGCTCCTCGTCATGTCCGGGATCTCATCCGGGACTCCGAACAACCTTCAGCAACCACATACCATTTCCCATAACAACTCTAGCGTCACCGAACCTTAAGTGTGTAGACCCTACGGGTTCGGGAACCATGCAGACATGACCGAGACAACTCTCCGGCCAATAACCAACAGCGGGATCTGGATACCCATGTTGGCTCCCACATGTTCCACGATGATCTCATCGGATGAACCACGATGTCGAGGATTCAATCAATCCCGTATTCAATTCCCTTTGTCCAGCGGTATTGTACTTGCCCGAGATTCGATCGTCAGTATCCGATACCTTGTTCAATCTCGTTACCCTTGTTCCGTAACACATCATCCCGTGATCAACTCCTTGGTCACATTGTGCACATTATGATGATGTCCTACCGAGTGGGCCCAGAGATACCTCTCCGTTTACACGGAGTGACAAATCCCAGTCTCGATTCGTGCCAACCCAACAGACACTTTCGGAGATACCTGTAGTGAACCTTTATAGCCACCCAGTTACGTTGTGACGTTTGGTACACCCAAAGCATTCCTACGGTATCCGGGAGTTGCACAATCTCATGGTCTAAGGAAATGATACTTGACACTAGAAAAGCTTTAGCATACGAACTACACGATCTATGTGCTAGGCTTAGGATTGGGTCTTGTCCATCACATCATTCTCCTAATGATGTGATCCCGTTATCAACGACATCCAATGTCCATGGCCAGGAAACCGTAACCATCTATTGATCAACGAGCTAGTCAACTAGAGGCTTACTAGGGACATGGTGTTGTCTATGTATCCACACATGTATCTGAGTTTCCTATCAATACAATTCTAGCATGGACAATAAACGATTATCATGAACAAGGAAATATAATAATAACCAATTTATTATTGCCTCTAGGGCATATTTCCAACAGTCTCTCATTTGCACTAGAGTCAATAATCTAGTTCACATCACCATGTGATTAACACTCACAGGTCACATCGCCATGTGACCAACATCCATAGAGTTTACTAGAGTCAACAACCTAGTTCACATCACTATGTGATTAACACTCGATGAGTTCTGGGTTTGATCAT